AGAATATTCAAATATGAGTTAGTTAGGTGCTTTATATTAGGGTTGTTAGGGTTGAAAGTAGGGATAAATGAAATAAATGTACTACTAAGTTTGTATTTGGCCGTAAAGCAGTAGATTCGTGATTTTTTTGTTCATAGTGAGCTACGAGACACTCCCGTCAGGTTTCTTTAAATTCATGTGATTCTACGAGGGGCTGCAACATTTGCAAATTCGCAAAGGGAGATGAATATCTACTAAAGATGACGTAATCTATGAGGATAAACAAATTGAAAACACTGTCATCGAATGAATTTAAATATATGGTAATGATAACTCGTGAACCGCACTGTTGATATTATTTAGAGTCACTTTATCAGATTCTTTAAAGGGATGTTGATTTAGCGAATCTCTCTTGTCATTGTTGATTTCTTGTTTTCATAATACTTGTCTGTGGCCTGCCAAAACATATGTGCTGTTATCACCTCCATAAAAACAAAGAAAAACTGTCAAGTGTAATTTGATTCTGTTCGCAATCATAAAAAAACTGATTCAACAGGGATTTGAAAAAGCGGGTATCGTTGCTGCGTTACATCCAGAACACTGACCTTTTATTGGGACTCAAAATTACTAAGTACTACTAATTTCCGTAGTAATATATCAGTATCACTTCATTTATTTATTTTCATTGAAATAATTACCACAATGAATACGTTTATTTTTTGTGTTAATAAAGTGTCATGTCAGTACGGTGGAGAAAAGACGTTGTTTGGCGGCCATTTTGAATTTACAATAAAGTCATTAGCGATATCTTAAATTAGCGAATAAGTTGGGCATTATATGTTTATTTCATCTCTCGCTAAATTCGCGAAAAAGACATGTTTTACAGTATTTACACGCAGCGTAACTGCATTGTTTTTCAGCGTCATTTTATTTTCATTTGAATTTTCACTTAATTGTCTTGTTTTTTTCTAGTTACATCGCGAAACTATACAGTTTAATAGTATTTATACTACTATATTGGCGGAACGTTGAATTACAAGTTACCGATCTTTTGAAAAAGCCAATAAGCGCTGTAGACGAGTGACTTATGTCAATTGTGAGACCGAACACAATTTATAAGAAGTACCGGTATTAGATTCGACCCAAACGATACAAACTTAAAGTAATCTCGGAAACTAAGATGCGGCTTCCAACAATTACAATTACTTACACCTGTTAAATATTAATAGGCGTGTGTTATATGATTATGTAGCTCCTAGATCTCGACTCTCCTTGTAAATGCTCACTGGAGTATATTTATAAACATGTGTTTACCATTCAGTAAAATCCACGCTCATTATATGATTGCTGTTGACAATGCATGGCTTGACAAACATCATGGGAAAACATTCTCTGTCAATATGACAACAACGTACTATATAGGTAGTTCAAACATATTATTATAAAGTTTATTCAGTGATCATGTATGCTACACATGGCGGTGTTATCAAGACTATTGCTGTTTATTTACTCTATTTATCTGTAAATGAAATGATTTCCAGTAAAGTGATACTTGTGATGCGTGACGTATATTTATCACCACATGACACATTACGTCATATCAGCCGTTACTTGTTGCCAATCTGCACATTCCAAATTTACTTTTACAATATTTATTTGGACGCTGGATCTAATTAATATCACTATTAATCATCAACATTCTACAACTCCGAGGAGTGTTAATAGCATACGCAATCGTATAAGTCGATTCAATCGTCAAATACAATGCATGAGGAAAGAAAGATTTCCTGTTGACGGCCTCTGTCTCGTATAAGCCCTGTTGATATTTTTCGAATTTTGACGGCTTCAGTAATGTTAATTATTTTTAGAAGAATAATAATAGATATAGATTATCAACTTTTTTCAGAAACTTAACTAATTCAAGTCTCAAATAATTTCGTTAGTTTTACTCGCGTCCCAAAGCTCGGCAAAAACACACATTGCCTAACTATTTGCTTGGTCATTAATAATTTGTATCTCAACTCCTTAGTGAACTTCATTTTCGTCGTTCATAGTAAGTGGAAGGAGAAAATGCAATTAAATTATATTGACCCATGCAAGCACTTGTTAGAAGTTGTTAAGGCGAGACATAGATAAAATGCTAGATCGTCGTTTCTTGTGAATGTTTAGGGGCATTACTTCTACGATGGGTGTTAATAGTGTTTTCAACTTCCTTTATTTATCGTTGTGTGTTGTGTGTTAATTTGTGTTTTGGGATTTGTTATGTCCTTCGCGGTTATAACTTTCTATATATTCTGACTTTTAATTTTTAGTGTAACTATTTGTAATTTGAAACCAGAGTATTCGTTGTAATTATCGTCGCGTAACAGCAGGGCAATACAATCGATTTAATTGCTTTCATTTCTTCTGTCTAGAAAATCCATTCAGATTTCAATTTTATTCAATAACATAGAAACACATAACCATACATTATTCATTAAAGAATTGATCATATTATGATTATGGCGTACGTTTGGAATATATTGTATACAGGAGAAATTGAAATAAAATAGATAATGACAAATTTTTAATCAATAACATTATTCTCATTTGTTTTATAAAATGAAAATACGAGTACGTGTAATTGCTTCATTGTTTTTAGACATTATTATTTATCATCCCAATCGATGCAAAGTCTCGTTTCAGACAGATGATACATTACTCCCCAAGTATTAACGGCCAATATATTACATTGAAAGCAATGAAGCACGCCGGAAAAACATATCGACACACGATATCTATCTTCAAAGCCTGAGCCACTTCGGTGTGTAGTTTGAGCTGTTTTTCAATGTCGTATGCGTCTGTCATATCACGTGACATACCATCAAAACCGTTACCTTGGTGAACAGGATTATTCAACGGTATTTCCACATTCCCAAGATTCATAAGCGCCATTTCAGCGCCAGCTTTTGACAATGCTTCCTGTGAAAAAAATACGGTCATTTCTATTATTTATATTCATGCATATCACCTAGCACCGTGTGCAGCCAGGGATATTATTTGAAGTCTTATATAATTGATGATTGCCAAAGCGTAGCACTGTGAAAGCGACGCACCTTGAGTCTGTATTTACCAAATCTTTGCAAACAATAATTCACGCATGCGTACTCGAAGAGTGATGCTGTAACAAAGATGAGACAAAGCGCCATCCATACATCGATGGCCTGTAAGAATGAAATTAACATTTAATTATCAACAACGTTCAAGATGAAGCATGTTATATTGTAATAAGTCTCGGAGTAACCAATTATACACATATGACTGATTATAAACCAATATTTTGCTGCTAGACAGTACGGAGAAAACAATGTTTAAAAGACTTTGTAACCATGAGAACAGAATAACATATGACTGCTTTGATTTTTAAAATGAAATTCTATTTTATTTTGAATGTTCTTTTTCGAAATAGATATCAGGCGAGAATTTTAGAAACGTTAATTTCGACAAAAGTTTTATCGCCATTATATTAGGCATATGCACTCACCGTAGCATATGAGACTTTAGGCAATGTTTCGTGTACACCAATGGCTTGCGTGGTAATAGTGAGAACTGACGTTATGCACAACGAAACACGTGCTGGTGATGCAAAAGGGTTGATCCAAAATGATACCCATGATAACAGTACCAACATAAAACTTGGTATGAAAATTATTAACCAGTAGTAACCAAGTTCCCGGCCGAGTACAAACATCACCATTATACAGGTGAACTCCCCTGAATAAATAAGGTCAAAATGTTAACTGGTGCAACCTTACATGTGCTGGCAAACGAACCAAGAATGAATAGATACTTAAAGTTATCTATATTGCCTCCACTACAACAGTTCAGTTACAGGAATGATGAACATTACGTTTGAGTTCTTAATACATTGATTCCAATGTTATTGTGAATTTGTATCAAAACAAAACGTACTTATGTTCTAAATATCAGACTCAATCGAAATATTTACACAAGTCAAGGCATACACACAATTTAATAATTTACGAACGTGTTTGTTTGGAACTTTTATACTATATGAAATGACAACATGTATGAGTTTAGCACTTTCTAGACTAATATATTTGTTGATTTATTTTACGAAAGATATTGTTCACCTGTATAGTATGATTTATCACATCGACCAATCTCGTGGCTGGTTACAGTAAATTGTTGCAGTTCGAAAGCAGTATCGTTGGTAATGGGGCTATCAGGTTTCCACTGGAATTCAAGTTCACTCGTCGTGTAACCATCTAAAAATTCAAATTAGAGTTTACAGTAAAATTGAACTTCAACTACATTTGTTGTATCTAAGAGTTTACATAATACGCAATACTCATAGTTATATGGTAAATATTCACACTTACAGCTCTCCATTTGCATATGGCATGTTTGCTTATCCATCGGGAATTTACCGAACTTCATTGGACACGCCAAGGTCAATGTCAGCCTGTAAGTAAGAAAATAATATTCATAAACGTTCTATGCAAATAAGACTATAATATAGACCACTGCATGTTGAATATTGGGCATACAATATTGCTCTGCCTTTCTGCTCAGCATCTTAATCGCAGACTCCCAAATCACTACGATCAGTCATGTTGAAATGTGCGAATCTGTTGGCAGATTCTCTTCATCAGTGACTTGTTTTAATGTTCAACCTCTCCATTTGCCCTGGTCCATCTTGCAGCCACTTTCAGATGCACGAATCCATTGTGTTCACAGTACTCCAGAAATGCATTAGACTTAAACTGTGTGTCAGCATCCTCTATTTTATATTTTTGTCATAATACCTCAAACCCTGCAAATGGAAGTGTGCATGGAATCGTGGAAACGGTGTGCATTGTGATAACTGTCATAAAGGTGATTGACAGGTCATACTTATTTTCAACCCTGAAAGGCCAGTGGGTTCTAACAGATGTGCTTGTAATTTACATAA